ATCCTTGGGCTCTGTTTATTTTACACATTAATATTATTATTTAATTAATTCTTTAAAAAATATAAAATTAATATTTTAAATAAAAAATTAACCATTTATCACTTTATTTAAAAACTAATAAAATTTATATATTTAAATAAAAAAAATAACAAAATTTATATACTTATTACTACACATTTTCTCTTACTTTCCTCTGTTCGGACTTTTGATGTAAAGATCCTTGGGCTCTGTTAATTAACTGAAAGTCTGAAATTTAGGCCCAATAAACACAATGGGTCAACAACAGCCCAATTTCTCCTTTACCCTTAAAATTAAAAATCCCGAGCAATAAAAAAGTCAGGATGGACAATCTGAATTACTACATAGGATATTTGATATTTAACTACAAATAATTATTGTTATATACTTATTTATCTCATTATATCATACAACTAATCCATAATCTCTAATCTTTACACTAAACATCCGGCGGATCTTAATTTTTTGGATTTTTATAGTTTAATATTTTTTTGATATTTTTAGATATTAAACTGCAATAATAAACAGATCCATATCATATAGTTGATGATTCTCTTATATTTAATCAAAAATTAAGAAATAAATAAAACATTATTTAACATTCAATATGGTATAAAGGGTGTAATTTTAAAATTATCTACAGTAAAAAAGGTCAAAAATTAAATGTACAAAAATTAACCTGAGCATAAATACAAAATTGTCTCGTTTCTAACTTAAAGTTGAAATCCAAAAAAATAAAAATTATTTTATAAGAAAGTAAATGTTATTTTATAAGATTTAAATCTTCTAATCAGTATTTAAAATTTTAATTTTTTAAATATATTAAATTAATATGCATTTGAACTTTTGGATCCAATGACGTCAAGACATATGTAATTATATTTTCTCACCTTCAAGGCAATGGTTTGAATCCAACTCCTTACAAATTTATTCAAAATATATATATATATATATTAAATTAATATAAAACATATTCTTATAATTATTTAATAAAAAAATAAATTTAAAATATATAAAAATTACCTGAAAGAAACTAAACATTAATACCAAAAAAACGTAGTCTCATCGCATCATGCGGGGGAGACCAATAATTTTAGACTAGCACTAGCGCTAAAGTATAAGATCCTTCGGGAGGCAGTCATGACGACTGTAAGCACAACACAATCTAGGATCTGAGATCCCGCCACGTGTAAACCTGCAACATGGCAACATCTGATTGGCCATACTACTCTGCAATTTCCACGTCGACAGTGCTCACATTTATTAATCCCTCCAAAAATGTAAACGCCCCAGTGTCCCACAGAGTTTGCCAGAAAAGAGTACTTCCTCTGTTCGCACATTTTCTCGGTAACCAAACAAACAGGAACCAGTTGGTTCTTGAGAATTCCACCATTTTGCTTTCTTTCTCCCTAGATTCTCTACATTCTCACGAATCTCTGCTCGGTTGATCGATTTGGCATTGATTGCATGAATAGAAGGTAGTTTCGGAACTGGCAGCTTCATTCGATTTTCCTTGATATTCAACGGCCGTCACGGCGTCTCTGGTTTTTCCGGTGAGACCTATAACTCTATCAACCAATGCTATCTCGTAAGCCTGTTTACTGTTTTCTTTTTCAATTTATTCTCGTTAAACAAGCATTGTTGTGATTTTCCATTGCTGACAAGAAAAATGTAATTATGAGATGCAAATAGTTTATCTGAGATTGTTTGCTTGAGGATGAGTATTCTCTTGTTTAATTGTGTACTGTTCCAACTAAATCTTAAAACTTGAAAAAGAAAAGTCAGAATTGTTCTGCTGTGGGTTATCTACCTCACATATCCAGTTGCTTGCTGAAAAATTTGGTTTCAGGATTGGTACACTGCCAGTCAGATATTTAGGAGTACCATTGATCATTGGAAAGCTTGCAAAAAAGGATCTCAAGCCTTTAGTCTCTAAAATCACTGAGAGAATGTCCTCCTGGGTGGCTAAACATCTCTCTTTTGCTGGTAGATTACACCTAATCTCCTCAGTAATTCGAGGCATCACCAATTTTTGGTGTTCTGTTTTCATACTACCTAAAGGGGTTATTAAAGAAGTGGAAAAGATATGTGGTGCTTTTCTTTGGAATAATGAAACTCACAGTACCAGAGCTGGCTGTATGTCTGTACTCCAAAACAGGAGGGAGGTCTAGGACTCCAGAACTTAGCTCAGTGGAATCAAGCTTGCATTTTAAAGTTTATATGACTGTTATTCTCAAAGGCAGGTTCTCTTTGGGTTGCTTGGGTCCAGGAAAACTTACTTAAGGGCAGAAGCTTTTGGTCCATTAATGTTCCTTCTAATGCTTCTTGGGGATGGAGGAAAATTTTAAAACTAAGGCCATTAGCTAGAGGGCTGATCCAGCACATACCAGGAATGGTCAGAACACTTATCTCTGGCATGATAATTGGCACCCGTCTGGCCCACTGTTAGGAGTTTATGGAAACTCTATTGTTCATGATGCAGGGATACCCTCCCAGGCTAAACTAGCCACTGTTATAAGTGGTAGATTTGGAATTGGCCTCCTGCTAGAGATCTCCCCAATTGGTGGAAATCCAAATACCTCTTTTTGATATTCATCCTAGGGAAGGTGAAAATGATTCAGTTATTTGGTTGATCTCCCCTTCTGGATCTTTCAAAACTGGTCAGACTTGGCATTGGTTGAGAAATAAGCAACCCAAGAAGGTATGGCACAAACTTGTTTGGTTTCCTCATGCTATCCCTAAGCACAGCTTCATAGGTTGGCTAGCCATACTTAATAGATTGACTACAAAAGCTAGACAAAAGCAATGGACCCCTACCATCTTGGATACTTGTATCCTATGCAATAATCGCTCAGAAACTTCCGAGCACTTGTTCTTCAAGTGCAGTTATGCTAACACAATATGGAGACAGATTAGTACTATGATCAATGTTCCCTTTGTGGACTCTTGGCAGGACTTATTTTATTGGATGGGGAAAAGGGTCAGAAGAAAATCTTTGCTTAGCATTCTGATCAAACTCTCATGGAATGCCACAATCTACAACATTTGGATGGAAAGAAACAAAAGAGTTCATCTACAGCTCTTTAGGTGAGAGTAAATCCTTCATTAGATTCAATTTGAGGTTAGAGCTAGAATGCTGGAGTTTGCTCGCCCAAGGTCTTCATCACTTCCTATGGCTGTTGCAATTCAACGGGGACTTGAAGCAGTTGTGACAGATTAGTTTCTGGGTGATAGTAGAATGTGTACTGGCTATTGTGTATTTTTCTTAGTCTCTTTTCTCTTGTAGCAGCTCCTGTGCTGCTTTATGTTGTAAGTATATTTCTGGATAAATAAATTCACCTTTTATCCAAAAAAAAAATATATATTGTGTAACCAAGTTTAATCTTGTTGATATTCCTGTTTTTGGTTTGTGTTTGACAGAGGCAATCCATGTTGCCACTCAGAATGTTGAATCTGCGATTGGGATTAGTTTTATCTCTATCTATGCTCTTTTTGCTTTCGATACGGTCTCAGGCTGCTGTATCAAGCATAGGTCTAGGTTCAGATTGGCTAAAAGTGGCTGTGGTAAACCTAAAACCAGGACAGAGTCCAATCTCGATTGTCATAAATGAGATGTCCAAGTGCAAATCTCCAGCATTGGTGGCGTTCCAGTCTGGAACTCAGTTACTCGGGGAAGAAGCAGCTGGAATTGTGGCCCGTTATCCTGATAAATTATATTCCCAGCTGAGGGACATGGTTGGAAAACCATATAAACATGTCAAGGGTTTTATTGATTCAATGTTCTTGCCATTTGATATTCTTGAAGATTCTAGAGCTGCTGTGAGCTTCAAAATTGATCATAATGTTACTAGTTATTCAATTGAGGAGTTACTCACAATGATTTTGAGTTATGCAGTGAATTTAGCTGAGTTTCATTCAAAACTGTCAGTTAAGGATGCAGTGATTTCAGTGCCACCCTACTTTTGACAGGCAGAGGGAAAGTGGTTGCTCCAGGCAGCACAGTTGGCAGGGATTAACGTGCTTTCTTTGATAAATGGGCACTCAGGTGCTGCGTTGCAGTATTGGATTGACAAATATTTTTCAAACGAGTCAAGGTATGTTATATTTTATGATATGGGTTCTAGCAGCACTTATGTGGCACTTGTGTATTATTTGGCATATAATGCTAAGTAGTTTGGAAAGACTGTTTCTGTCAACCAGTTTCAGGTCAATTTGAGACTTCAATTTTCCTCAATACTTCCATTTCTTGTGATATCTCTTTAGATGCTATCTGCACTGTCCTTATTGTGGTTTAACCCATCAGAATGGTTCTCAAATGGCTAAAATTATTTAATGTTCATTTCCTTGTTCTCTATTAGGTTTCTAGTGTGGTTTATGTTTACTGCTTTTGCGTCTCAATTAGCTTAGCAGTTAATTGTTAATACTAGTTGTATACCATTTTTGCAGGTTAAGGATATTAGATGGGACTCAGAACTTGGTGGCCAGAATATGGAATTGAGGTTGGTGGAGTACTTTGCTGATGAATTTAATAAACAACTCGGAAATGGGGTTGATGTGAGGAAGTCTCCCAAGGCAATGGCTAAATTGAAGAAACAGGCCAAACGTACAAAAGAAATTCTAAGTGCAAATACAATGGCTCCAATATCCATTGAGTCCTTCTATGATGATAGGGACTTCAGGTCTGTGGATTTAAGGATGCTGAAGGATGCTGTCTATTGTTTCCTAACTTTTCCCTTCTTTTCTTGATATATTGTTTATTGATGAACATTTTAGAAACTTAGTCAAACATTCACAGTATTTTACACATAAAACGTCATGCATTAACCAAATAATCATCCACTACAAATGGGCAGTTATACACTTCTTATATCTAAATCATTAAAAAGATTAATCAGGCTCAATGAATTGCATGCATCAACTAGAATGCAACAGGGTCTGTTTGTTTAACTGAATAAGCATGAGTTGGGACTCGGAAGCATTTTTCTAGAATATGTCAAAGAACTTTTGTTAATTTCTGACCTTATGATGTGTCTGAGAGTATTTAAAGTTTTGATTTAGAAGTTTAGGAATGCCTTCTAACTTCTAAGGAACTGAAATTTGGTGAAATGTATCTTTTGCTAGCACCAAGAAGATCTGACATTTTATATTTTGCTTTCCTTTTGAATAAGTTTACCAATAGCATTGATTTTTGAGAAACAATTTGTAATTTCAGCCATTTGCTTTTGCCAAATACTTGAGTATTTTTAACTTAAAAATTAATTAACTGCTTCAATCACCAATAAGCATCTTTTCAATGTAGGATGGAGGAGAAAATAACCAGAAAACATGTTCTTATTTTTTCTTTTGATTTGTGATCTGTAGATAGTTTGTGCATTGTATTTGAAAAATTAGTTTAGCAATCATGCAGTCATTAAAAACTACTTTTACTTTTATAGACAACTCAGTTTGGGGAAGTTAAGAAACCACAAGGGCACAACTAAAAACTGTTTGGGAGTGTCCAACCAATTTAATCTGCTGCATCTTTAAAGAAATGCTTATTTTCCACACTATTTATCAGATCTAGATATAATATGTTTTTCTCAGCAACAAACTGAACATGATTAATATGCTTGGCTGAGATTTGATTCTATTCCAGGAGCACCATAACCCATGAGAAGTTTGAAGAGCTCCATGAAGATCTTCAGGAGAAATCTCTTACACCTGTGAAAGAAGTTCTCAAGTATTCTGGTTTGGAAGTGGATGACATATATGCAGTGGAGTTCAATGGAGGAGCAACTAGGATACCAAAGTTGCAGGTTTGCATTGTCTTTGTTTCTTCACTTGTATTCTGTGCCTAAAATAGAAAAAAAATACCTATGCTGTGCTGGATCTATACAATTCCACCAATACATGCAAACATAAAAGGTAAAAAAATGCTGACATGTGGTTGCTTTTGGCTTCATCTGTAGTTCTGTGAATAAAATTTGAAACTGAATTCCACTGTCAAAGTATGTTCAGTTGACTTGTTCATAATTAAGATTACATCTTTGACTAGTAGTAGACTAGCAGTGTTTAAGATTAGTTCATTCCTTGTTTTACTAATTTTTGATCTGCTGTGTTGGAACAATACTGTTCCACAAATACATATAAACCTAAAAAGTAAAAAGAGATGCAGACAGCAATTGCTTCTAGGTTCTTCCACAATTCTATGTATGGAATTTGTAGCTAAATTTTGTTATCAAAGTTTGTTTAGAGGACTTGTTCAGAATTAAGATTACTTTTCTGACCAGTAGTAGACTAGCAGTGCCTGTTTAAGATCAGTTCATTCCTTTTACTGGTTTGTGGTTTGACTTCTGTTATGCCCATTTTTTTATTTGAATAAT